TGAATGTAATCACACATTCAAACTATGTGTCCCGATGTCATAATTTAAAAGTGATATTTTGGCTCCTGACAAGTTTCTGTGAAAAAAAAACTTTTACAAAAATATAAACATGTCAGGGACACGTGTGTTCTGTGTATTTGACAGTGTCTTTACTTTACCTTTCTGGACATGGATGATGTCGGGGTAGTTTGCCAAGTGTCCTTGGTAAAGAGCAAACAAATCCATGATAGGGTCAAGATCTTTGCTGGGCTGCTCAGCAAAATACTCTCCGATGGCGTCATACGTGTCTCCAGTGAAGGAGATGGCCTGGTTGAGTCCTGCTGAGTACGCCTGCTGGTCCATTTCAAAAGCCTGGCTGAGGACCTTGAGCGACATCCCCACTTTCTGATACTCCTTCTTAAAGCCACTGATCTGCTTGCGGGCGAACTCGTTGATTGTGGCATTGAGCTGCAAGGTGCTGTCGTCCATCCTCTTGGTGAACGTCTTGAATCCATCTATTTTGCTCTCGACCTCCTGAAAGTCAAGCGGAGCCGCTGGGGTGCTGATGGTGAGGAAGAAGTTGGCCCCCACCATCTCATCCTTCTCTGCCTTCCTCTTCCCCTGCTTCCAGGCCTTCTCATCCGTGCTGTTGCAGGTGAGGAAGTGCTGGAAGACATCACACTTGGCCAGGACTGGGTGGCTGGTCATGTGGTTCATCCACCACATGAGGCCTTTCCTCCTCTTGGAGATAAAGTCCTCCTCAAAGCGGCCCGTGGCCTGCTTCTCGGGGATGTGTGGCACTGAGATGACGGGGAACTTCTCCACCAGGCGGGCGTACAGCCAGTCAAAGTGCTTGTACCTCCTGTTCACCTGGGTCTGGGTGTGGGTGGGGGTCAGCTTGTAGGAGATGTAGCTTTTCATGCCCTTGAACTTGGTCTGTTTGGTGGGGTCGTCGATTGTGCACGAGAAGGGATACGGGTTCTCCTGCCACTCGGGACCATACTGACCCATCACCACACAGATCTTATCCCCGTCCTTCACGAAGCCTGACGCCTCTCCCAGCACAAAGGCCTCTCCTCCAGACTTGACGAAGGTTGAGAACCTGTTCAGATTTCTGCTGACGGTGGCTGAGCTCTTGGCCTGCTGTGCATTGCCTCTGGACATGGAGGATGTTGACACTCTGTAGGTGGATGGCCCGTTGCCTTCAAAGTCATGGTACCGTCCTCCCACAGTCCCTGGTTCATCCGCCACGGTGGAGCTGTCATCCCAGTCATCATCCCAGTCATCGTCGCTCACTTGGCTGGGGGACTGATAGGTGTGCTGCTGCTGCTGCTGCTTCTGCTGCTGCTGCTGCTGTGGAGGCTGTTGTGGCAGCGGAGGAGATTTGGTGTATGTGGCGAGACCTGGAGGAGACGGTTTGGAAAAGTTCTCGATTTTATTCGGAGGACTCAGAGAGCCGTCGAAGCCTCCGGGTGGGATGTTGGCGTATCTGGAGTCCGGGTAAGTGTCCCCAGATGTGCTGCAGCTGTTGTTGTTGGACGTGGAGGCGGCGTCGCTCCTCACGATCTCCACGTAGGACGCGGGGATCAGTCCCCTCTCCCCTTTGCTGTTCACCCCCTCGAGCCAGCCCTCGATGTCCTGCTCGCTGTACAGGGTGACGATCTCGTTCTCCTTCACCGACACCTCCCCGGGGTTTTCCGAGTTGAAGTCGTACAGCGCCCGGGCTCTGAGCGCCATGATCCCCCCGCGCAGCTGGATGGAGGAAGGAGCGGGGACAGCGGGCTAACTCGCGGCAGGCTGGCCGGGGCAGGAGGGAGGCGCAGCGGGCACAGAGGCTAGCTTCAGTCCGCCAACTACTCCAGAAACTCCGCGTACAAACTTCTCACCGTCTCGGGAACCTCCTCTTCTCGGGTCCCCTCTCTGCGCGGCTCTTCCCGTTGATCGACCCGGTGCAGAGGTTTGCAGCGTGTGCAGCTGGAGCGAAGGTATTTGCCGCTATACAACGACAGTAATCCGGGCTCCAGATCCGGGCTGGACGCCTCTGCTCTCGGTGCTTCGCTGTGTCCTCACCGCGCTGCGCAGCATCCAGCGGGCAGGCTGGATAATCGAGGGCGGAGCCACAAGATGCTACGATCCGCCCAGACAACACCAATCAACGGCCTGGGAAGAGCCACGATGAAGCCTGGTCCTCCTCACCATAGACTGAATATGGGTCCTCACTTGTTGACTGTTTCACACTGTCCCATTTAAAAAACAAGTGTTGTGGAACAGTAATTAAATCGCTGATCACTTCAATAAT